AGCCCCTGTTCCTGGCACACACGGGGACTGTCTCACCCGGCAGCGACGGCACCGGTGCAGGGAGCCCTCCCCTGACTCACCCACTTGTTGATGCTCCTCGAGCAAGCCAACAAACCAGCCAGGCCAGAGCATTTCAGCACAGGCACATGAATAACTAGATATTCGAGAGAGGATGTGTGACAGGGCAGTGACACAGCCCCGGGTCCTGCAGAGAGGAACAGCCTCGCTCTCCTTTCGCAGGGCACATACACCGCCCCTACTTTCACACGCAGCTCCACCACATCTCATCCAAAACTACCCTGTGGTGGTTCTCTCCTGCTTCAGTACTTGGGGAGGTACAGGACAGGCCCCAAGCGGGCAATTTAAGCACCGAAGTGACAAAAGACAAGTAGTTGACTTGTACCCATGAGTAAGGCACGCAATTTTGTCCTGAGTCAGCCCTAGCACTGCAGCTCCCCAGCGCCAGGGCCAGAGCAGCCCTCCCCTGCACCTGGGGAGAAGGAGAGAGTGACAGAGGAGAGGGTGTTTGGGGAAAAGGCAGGATTTTTGGTTTCCTGGGTGAGGTCCTCCAGGGGTAGGAGTAGTGATGGGGCTCTGAGAACAGCACCCTGCCTCCACCGCTGCCGATCTGGGAGCAGGGTGGGTGAAAGTTGGGAAGGAAGACAACACGGAGAGCCCAGAAGAATGAACCATAGTATTCTCCCAAAAGCCCCCATTTTCACCAAAATATTAGTAGGACTGTGCAATTTAGGACCTTCTGCAGCTGGCCAAGAGAAAGCAAAATGTAAGTCCAACTCAGTTACAAACCCTCCTGGGGTGGGAGGTGAGAATATCCAGCCAGAGGACATCCACAAACCCCTGCTCTGCGCAGGGAGTGCTCAGCCTGATGCTCCTGGAGGCCAATACACTCGGTAACTTCAGCACAAACCTACTAAGAAACACACGGGTGACAAGTGGACCTTGTATTCCTCCTCAAAATGCCTTTTTTATGTCACCAGACGTTCCGTACCCCATGCCCTTCCAGCCGGGGTGCAGCAATGGTTAGGGGGATCACTCGCACCTCTGACTGCGAAGGCCAGTGGCATCCAGGGAGTAATGAAATTTCTAACAGCGATTCAAATAAAGGACATCACTAAGGTCTCGCTACACACAACAGAAACCACGGGGTCTGATTTTAAGATTTGGAATGAGGTGTCAAGCTGTAATGCAGTGTCAAGAAGCGATGCTTGGGCTCAGGGATCCTGAAGAGGGACAGACTGAAGCTCTCACAACGCTTTAGGACAGACACAGCTCGTACCGCACCCAGGGCTGTCGGACACTGGACGCAGAGAGAGGCTGCTGGCTGCCTACAGCACACAAAAGCCACACCGACAGAAACAGGGCTCCCTCATCTCTTGGTTGCCCGCTGTTCCAACACCCGGATGCCCACGGAAAAGAGAGGAATCCCTCAAACCCTTTTCTAGAGGCTGGGTGTATGGCAGAAGAGCAGCAGCGAAGATGCAGAGCTTCGCTTTTAAAGATACGCCTTCCCAGGGCTGAGGGGACAATCCATTTCACCCCCATTTCAAAAAACCTGAGTCTAAACAGTTGTAAGTGGCCAAAGCAGATCCTAGCGGGACAGAGAGGGCACAAGGGCTTTACCCCTCCCCACCAGAGGCTGGGGATCTGAGCTGGAGATGAGATGTCCCTGTGACGAGATCAACCTAAATGACGCTCCGTTTCACCCCAATAACAGCGAATTCTGCTTTCTGGACAGATCAAACAAGTCACAGACGATACAACACTTGTTTCAAACTGGGATGTGGGGTCTGGGAGGGGAGGAGAAGGCCGCCACCGCACTTAGAAATAAAAGGCTTCCAAACAGAGCCTCTAGATAACATCCCACCGTTGCAGTTTCGGGACAGCATCAGGCGCGTGTCAGAGAGCAGGCCGGGCACTAGCTGTTCACTAAATCTATGTGCCTTCCTGTCAGGGGATGGTGTCTGTCAGGGCAGAGCACCAGCACGCCGGTGGAGAAGCGAGCCCTGCCAGCACACACATCCCACCCTGCCAGAGACAGAGGGAATCCGATGGCCCAGGCTGTCAGGAATATCAGCGGCATCAAATTCACTCAGATTTCAAAGCTACCCCAGCTGATTATCCAAAAGGCGCGTAGCTTCGCAGAAGCAACAGAAGCAGAAACTATCAGAGCACACATAACTGTGAAAAAACAGTATGTGCCCTAATTCCCTAATAAGGAGCGGGTTCAATAG